TCTCTCTCTTCTTCTCTCTCTCTCTCTCTCTCTCTACCTGAGAGAATTAATGTATTCCATGCGATGAGCTACTAGTATGTTATCAAGAAATAACATAATAGAAATACTAATCTCATAATAGAATCTCATAATCTCATAATAGAATCTCATAATCTCATAATAATCTCATAATAGAAATCTCAAAATAAAATCTCATAATAGAAATAATAATCTCTATTATGTACTTGTATCTTGATGTTATTATAGAACTACATGCGACTGGTGGTGGCGTTTGCCCCATATAGAGGTCTCCCTCCTTCTCACCTCTATCTCCCCCTCTCTTTCTTTCTCTTCCCCCTCTCTCGCTCTCTCTCTCTCTCTTTCACACCTCGCGCTATCTCTCTCACCCTCTCTCGCTCTCTCTCTCTGTCTCTCCTTCCCGCATTTCAAATCCGTATGAGAGACAAACATGTAGAATAACATCATATAGACACATATACAGCTAAGAGAGAGAGAGCGCGAGAGAAGGAGAACGAGAGAGAGGGAGAGAGAGGGAGAGCGAGAGAAGGAGAGCGAGGGAGAGAGAGAGAGGGGAGGAGAGAGGAGAGCGAGAGAAGGAGAACGAGGGAGAGAGAGATCAGGGAGAGGATAGGGGGTTCGCAGACGAGAGCGGAGCAGAGCAAGGCGAGAGAGACGAGATAGAGATAGAGAGAGAGAGAGAAGAGAGAGAGGACGCGAGCAGCAGAGAAGAGAAAGGCGGTTGGTGAGAGAAGAGGACAGAGCGATGAGAACGAGATGGAGGATGAGAGAGAGGAGGAGAGAGAGAGAGAGAGAGAGAGAAGAGAGAGATGAGGAGAGAGACAGAGAGAGACCTGAGAAGAGAGAAGAGAGATGTGCGCGGTTTATATATGACTTACGCGGCACATATATATGTGTCCTGGTAGTCTAGAGAGGCGATGTGTTGTATTGTATTACCGTCGTGCCGCTGGCCCAAACAGCACAAATTACATCACAGCCACACAGCACGCGCACGCACACGACGCACGCACGCACGCACGCATACACGCCACGCTACGCACGCACACACACACACACCACACACAACACACAACAGCACACGTGCACAACACACACACACACAACACGCACGCACCACGCACACACACACAACACACACACACACACACACACACGCACACTTCGTGCGCGCGCACATATCAGATTGCTACTCACCCGCTACCAACCCGCCTCCTCAACCTCCTTCTACTTCCTGTCTTCTTCTTCATCCCTCCTACCCTTCCTCCTACTCCTCTTCCACCTCCTTCATCCCTTCTCTCTCTTCCCCCCCTTCTAGGAAATCCTCGCCCTCTCCCCGTTCCCTATAGTGTCCCTCACCTATATATACTATTTAGATTTTACAGGCGAGTGACTAGGAGAAAGGGGATGTGGGATGCGGCGTGAGGGCGGGATTGAGGAGGAAAGAGGAATGTGGGGTGAGGAGAAAGGGAAGTGTGGGATGCGCAGGGGAGGGGGTGGTGAGGAGAAGGGGATATGCGGGCAGAGGGGTGAGGGAGAAAGGAGATGCTGGGAATGCGGGTGAGGGGTGTGAAGGGAGAAAAGCATTGTGGAATTGCGAGCGGGAAGTGGGAATCTGTATCGATATCAGTTAAGCCTATATAATATCACAGTACGATGGGTGAGACTCAGCATCGCACAGCGGCATCGCGCGGAAACCCCACAACCAATCTAGCGACCGTAATAAACAACACACGTTCCAACACTCATCGCTAGACCGATTGACGTCACGACGTTTTACGCGCGCTTTGTAAAAGCAACGCCTGCGCTGTTTTTACGCATACAAAAACAACGTTTACTAATGGCAGTAATCGCATCCTTTCCCCTACTGACTCATCCTCCTCCTCCTCCTCCTCCTCCTCCTCCTCCTCCTCCCAGCCGTTGATGCTGTTTGAAAACAGGATAGGTAATATAATATATATATATCAACAGCTAACAATACCTATATAGGTAATATAATAATATGTATAATCTGTTCGGGCCACTGTTCCACAGAGGTGTATGATAGCTTATGCGTAGCTGATCACAGCTATAATAAAGTAAATCTATATAGTCCGCTACAAAGACATTTAGTTTAAAACATACAAAGTTGGGGTTGGAAGACATTGTCTGTTAAATGAAATGCACGTGCTATGAACCAAGATACAGTTTTGTATGTGCATGTACGAGGAGATGGAGGAGGGAAGAGGGGAAGGGAGGAAAGAAGAGAAGGGAGGGGAGAATGAGAATGATGAGGGGAGGTGCGGAAGGAGGAGCAGGAGGAGGAGAGGGGGAGGAAGGAGGAGAAGAGGAGAAAGGCGAAGGAAATGAGGAGAGGGGAGGAAGGATAAGAGATGAGAAGAATGAGAAGAAGGGAAAGGGAAGGGAGGGGCGGGGGATAAAGTGAGGGAGGGAGGAGGGGAAGGCAGAGTCCTCTACACCGTACAGCTTTCGATAGAACCCTGTTCAGGTTGTCTATAAAACACACACGTATAAGAATAATAAATTACTGATATTTATGTTACTCGTGTTTTTGTGTGTGTGATAGTACGTGTAGCGACTGTTTGTTTACAATGCAGCGAAATACGACGAATCAGGAAATAAAACACCATCCGTTACCAGGGAAAGGGAAAACTCATTACTGAATGTTTATATTTCGTAAAAAAAACTCGCTGTTACTGTTTCCTGTTGACAGTAATGACGTTAAAATGTCTGCACAGTGCAACCGTTTGTTCGAGTAGAAGGATTAAAAATTTTGAGCATAAAGTG